TCAGAGCTCTTGGAAAACATGGAGTTAATATAACCCAGGCTTGTTGCCATGAATAGGAAATAGCTTACTCCTGCAGTCAATTTGCCTAATTGATTAGAAGCCTGATTGCATCCCTGAAGGGCTAGATGCCCTGAGGGAATATGCATGCACAGAGGCAGGGAGCTTCCAGGGCAGCTTCACAGAAAAGGAGTCTCCTGTGCTGCTGGAGCCTGAGCTGAGATATCCCTTTCTGCTGACAGCTTCTGCTCACACCCATCTCCAGCCCACTCCCAAGCATAAAAATCAGCTCCTAGAGTTGGACAGAGGAGGCCAGCAAGAGAAATCCAAGTGCTACCTCCTACAGGTTGCTGATGGGTCCAGCTGGCACAGACACCAGTCAGTTTGTGAGTGAGGACAAACTCACAGCAAGGCTCTCTGGCAGAAGAAATGTTATTTTTCCCACTCAAATGCTCCCCCACCTATCTACAGTAATCTGTTTGCTCCTCTGGTCTTTCTTGCTCCTTCACATGTCAGGAGTGAGAACCAGAACTGCCCAAATGAGAGAAGTCCCAAGGCTTGGCAAGCTTCCCCAAGGGTCAGAAACCACCGGAGCTTGGCCCCGTGGTTCCCTAATCAGCTGGGTCAAGTTGCCTTGTGAAGCCCAGTGGCAGGAAGCAGTTTATAGTACAGTAACTCAGCCCATTGTCTGGGCTTTTCCAGCTTGGCTTCATTACTATTACCATGATAAAGACCAGCTTTTTTTTTTTTTTCCTACTTCCCTTTTGCCCCTTCAAATCTCTACTTGCTCTTGACTTTTCTGAATTTCACTTTGATACTTTGACACCTCGGTTGTTCTCCCAGACAGATACAATTACAAGAGTTCAAAAAAAACCTTGTTTTTGTCCAGACCCGGGGGAGGGTGGGGGGAGGGAATGAGGAAAAAGCATGGGTAGCAGGGAGATGCGGTGGAGATTGGCTGGGAGAACTCACCTCCTGCCCAGTTTGGAGCAGCTCTTCAGGTCTTTTCTGCAATTCAGAGGACCCAGAAAGATGCAACTGTGGGACATAATCCAACATTCAGGTTTAGTATAAAACAGAAATAGCAAAAAGCGAGCTCAACAGGATCAATGGGGATGGCAGACTGGCAACTGTGTTTCAGTGTGCAATACTCCACCTTCTTCCAGTGAGTCCTCACCATTCTTACCTTAAGAAAGAGTTTTACAACAGTTCAAATTTTAAAAAAGAAGAAAAACCCGTGTGAAGGCTCATTCAAAGCATCAACACCACGAAACAGCAGGGTGGCTTACAGTCTGATACAGCACTCATTAATTGATGATGTGAAGGAAAATGCCTTCCCCCTTCCCCCAGTATTTTCACCACTTGCTGAAATTCCTGGACAGTCCTCAAACCCCATACAACCTGCTCTCCTTAACTTGCAGAATTTAGTGACCCCTATGTTGCTAGGGTTGCAAGGTACCAAAAGAATAATAAATGTATTTCTGGGACTCCTTATGAAAAGTAATCTCTCTGATCCAGACATTACAGAACTCTGTTCTGAGAGCAGAAGATGAGCCACAACTTCAGTTATGGTTCACCTGGGAGTGGCTTACAGAGATTCTCCTTCGTCTCAGTACAAAAAAGGCAGTCAGCTGGTGAGGGCAACATGGCCTTCATTCAGTCTCTAATGCAGTGTAAAAAGGAGAACTGTGGCAGGGTGACATTCATAAACCAGTTCGAACAACTGCACACGGGGAAAAAGTGAGCCTAGCCCCAGCAGAAGGATTATTTCTGCTATCTCCAATTCAATGCCTCATTCTGTCACTAGACATGCTGCTACATTATTAGGAAGTGGGGCTGTATTTCTATTAGGAAGATAGATCTTGTTGCAATTTATCCTATTATTTCCTAACTCCATTTTTTCTAGGCCATAAGTCCTTGTACGTCCATACACCTCACCATTGCGGCTCCTGATTTAATATTCTGAGGACAGCTATTGGAACCACTAGACACGGCTTGAATCCTTTTGAAAACTATATTTATATTCCTCCTGTATTAATCTTAGAGACCATGGAACAACATGCAGTGACCTGGATGAGAGCAGCGGATGCATTTATTAAGCCTGTGGATGACACGAAGTGCAAAGAGACTACCAGGAAGCTGGGCTGAGAATGCAAAGTGATTTTGACAAATCAGAACTGCGGTGTGAAGCAGCGGCAGGCTCTCCAGCACGGACAAATGCAAGACAGTGCACACAGGCAAGAATCATCCACTACTTGAAGATAGGCTGCAAAAGAGCTGGTTAGAGAGCAAGGTCTGCAGAGATGAACGCTGAGGGACTACCAAGGATTGCAAGCTCAGCAAACCCAAATACAGCAAGAAGAACTATGAGTGTAAGTCCAGCATGGAAATCAGAAAACATAATAATTCAATTATATGCTGCATTACAGCTTCAAGGGAAGTACTGCATGCAATTGTGCATGAGGTGCTTCAAGAAGGACACAACTGAAGAACAATGAAGATGACAAAAGGACTAGGAAATGCCATTAATTAAAATGGTGTTAGCTGAAAAAGACTGAAGACACTATGGACTGTAAACCCATGGAAAGGAAATTATAGTTTTTTCAATTTATTAGTTATTCCATGGAGAAAAAAAATGCAACAAGGGTTCATGTGTTCCAGGTTGAGAAACACATGGTAAGGTTAGGGGGGCTCTGGACCAAGTTGGACAGGGAGAGCATGTCCCTGAGAAAAAGTTAGCTAAATACCTGTCAATGATGAGGGGATATTATCTGAGGCTGTGATGGGCAGGGGAGAGGACTACATTATTTTTTCTTAAGAAGAAAAGAACTTTCCATTTCTACTGTTCCAATAACCTAGTAAGCCTAAAAAAATTGCAGCTAATACAATTTTCCAAGATCCTAATCCCTTCAAAAAATGCACAGGTTTTCATAAAAATAAAACAAAAAACCAATAAGCTAAGCTATCGATTCACCTGTATTCTACCACCCTCTACAAAAAGCTGTATGCATTCATAATATTTTATTGTAATATGATATCAGGAAACAACTTTTGTCTTATGCTTAACTAAGTAAAGCGAACAGGTACTAAGTTTTAAGTCTATAGAAATTACTTCTGAAAGCACCATCAATTATATCTACAGTACCTGATCTTAAAAAATAAAACAAACACACCTATATCAGGAGAAGTATCACACAGAGGGAACCAGCTGTCTGCATGCTCTCTTATATGCTTTTCTGTTATTTATGTCCAGAGACAGAAAAGCAAACACCATGGAGTGACAAGGCAGCTTTATTATTCTACAGTATGTACTAGAGTATTAAAAATAGCTTCTGTCAAAATAAATAAAATAATAGCTGAATCTAATTTACATAAGTGTTTTTGTTTACCTATGTTGTATTGAGTCTCAATAATAATTTTAGAACGAATTTTGGACTGAATAAGGAAGTGTATTTCTGCCAGTTAGCATAGTGGGTGAGATTCATGGTTAACTCAATTCTAATTAAAATTCATGCAGAACAGGGAGAGGTTGAAAACAGAAGATGTGAACTCCTGCCCCTCTAAGTGTTCTGGACAGATTTACCACTGACTCTACCAGAAGCACAACTTTTCAAAAAAAACTCTTTAAAATAAAAATTTTGGTAAGTTTTAGCTCTCACAAGAACAAGAATTTACAAGTGCTGGAGGGCATTCAGCCTGCAGTCCTTGTCTGCCCACAACCTTCCATTCCATATTACCAAATTTCTGCTACCTCATTCCCGAACTCAACCTTACACCAGTTACATCAAACTGCAAAGTGGTTTCAAAGCTTTCCATGTGCCAACTCCTGACTCCTGTACCTCCATCCACATTTCTGCTACAAACTTTCACTACAGAGCAACTAATTTTAGTTTAGACACCCCCCCCATTTGATTACTAACCAGATCGTGGACGCTGTATGCTTTTTCAACAGCTGCAAACTGGTTGTTCTGCTCCAGCCTCCTGCTCCAATTAGCACCAAATAGAGAAACACATTTGGAAGAAAGCAATAAATTTAATCAGTCTCTGAATATATAGCAGATATTATGGTTACTGCTGAATCACCATTCCATATGCAACCCAGCCTGCCTGGGACCTAACTGTGGAGCTACCCTGAAAAACTGCACCCCTTGTCTGTAATGGTTCTCCCTCAGTATCACAAACAATCTGCTGCTTTTGTGGACAACTGAGCGTCTTTTGTCAGAAAAGCAAGCGCTTCATCAGAGCTCAAGTACGGAAACAGTTCTCTTGCACAGGGAAGAACATGTTGATGAAGTGTAAATTTTAAATAACTTGGCTTCCTATCCAAGATGGAGCCCCACTGTGACCTTGTCCTTGAGGAAAACATGAACAAGCACAAGGGACCATTAAAACACTAAGGCTGCTGACCATCTTAAGGCAATAATATTACAGTGAGGAGAGCTATTTTTATTCCTCAGTGTTTCTGAGAAGCCCGAGCAAGATGTTTGCAAGTAGGTCCATCAGCTTCCTAAACAAAATTGAGGTTCCATGAGGAGAGGACCTCTTTTTAACAACAATAAATGCAAGCTGCCACTTTGATCCTCCAGTTCACAGTCCTAAATCAAGATGCATTACATTTTTATTTTATCTCTGATAGTTGAAAAATCACTTTGAAATGAGAATATACTGATCTGGTCTTAAGCAACTGGGATTTTCTCTAAGTATTGATCTGGTCCTCTGTCTCTAAGACTTTTTGGTCCAAGAGAAATGTATTCATTCATACAACACAGAGCGTGAAACAGAGCAAATTTATAACCTTGCTTTGCTAAAATTTGGTGTTATACATGGGGAAATAATTCTGAAGCTTTAATCAGCTTTTCAGGTACCTACTGGGTGGTCTCTTTTGTATTCTGAGCGCATGGTTAACACGGAAGCATATCTTTGATAAAACTCAGAAGACCTGAGAATGTGTTCGTATAAGATAACATTAAATATCTGCATATATAATGACAGTAACTGACCTTCTGGATGATGCCATATCAAGAAAGGCAAGATGATACATATGATGCAAGTAAAAAAGGCGCCTTTCATGTTGGAAATATTTCTTGCTCCTTTCAGAGGTTCTGTACTGTAGGTAAAAAAAATAAATAGTAGAAACCGTGATTATTATAAACTGTCATTTTTATAAACATTATTATAAACTGTGAGCTTACTTAAAGGAATTTTCATATTGGACCAACTAGGGGATAAACATTGTCTTTATAATCCTGTATAACACTTTAATGACCTCCTGAAATTCCTATTCACTTAATTCATTTGATAAAGCCTTGAATTACACTCAGAAATCAATAAGTAAAAAAAAATATAAATTCAACATAAACACCCTCTATGGTTAAATTAATTTTCTGCCATGTTGGAATAGTTGTGGAGAGAGATTTAATATTCTTTATGATTTTTATACTATGTATATGAAAACATATAGTGTTTAACTTCCCCTATTCTGCTGACTGGTCCAGCAAGCAAACATGACTTGTCTCTAACACTCTCTGCCTTTCATGATTTCGCTGTGCGACTGTGTTACTCTTACACATGTAATGCTCAGTTTGTAATTTGCAATGAATAGATAAACTGCCATTAATGACTTTGAGTAGTGACTTCTAGTGAGAGACAGCAATATTTAATTTTTATATGTGTGCTGGCAAATTCACAGAGTTCTTAATTTTTATTTTCTGCATGAATTCAGCAGCCTTCTTGCATCCATCCTGAAAAGAAGCAAATCTGGTAAAAAAAAATTAACAAGGTATTTTATTTCTAATGAGACTTATCAGACCTCTAAAATTCTTGAGTGACTTGAGGACCAACTGTAAGCTATGACCCTGGGGCTGGGTTTCAGAAGACTTCAGTAAGCATTCTTAATGCAGGATCAACTTTTAATATACAAATTACTGGGGTGGGTCACTCATTATACAACACCTTCAGCATTCTGTCTTCCACTAGAGTGAGACTAATGCAATTGGTGGGACTGTATAGAAATAAGAGCAGGACCATATGGTTGGTGGGCTGCTCAGCTACACACTGAGAGCAACTGATTACAGTACTGTCTGGGCTGGCTTTTCTGTCCCGTACATAATGTTAGGCCAGAAGTTATACTGAATAAAACTTTTGAAACACCAAAAGATGTGAGAGGCAATAGAGTAGCTTGCTGTCATCTTTGGAAACAATCTGTGAAACCAATAGCCTGGCATATCTAAAATAATGTTTAAGACAAAGAGATGTGACATCCTATGTCCCTCATCCTCCTATATGCCTGCATCTATGTGGAGTCTTTGGGACTTCAGTAACTTGTTTACGCCGAACACCTTGAAGAGCTTGGTAAAAATAAACCCCTGCTATGAAGAACAACAAAGAGGGAAAGTGCAGCTTAACTTTCATTTGGAACTTCTTTCCTCAGGACATTTAAAGTTGTATTTTAAGTGGCATTTTGTAACTTCTCATAGTACCTACACATTTAAATACATACAGCACTAGTTCTGTGAGTAATTTTGAGACTCCTCATGTGCACTGTGTCTTTGGATCACTAGGATTTAAAGAGCAAATGCTTTCATATCTACTTACTGGAATATATGCCCCTTTACGTTTGAATCCAAATTAACACTTTTATTTTGTTGTTTTTTTAAAGAGCCACCAAAATCCTCCCGGTTTTGTTTTTGCTTTTTTTTTTTTTTTAAGAGCCACCAAAATCCTCCGCTCCTCATGTGCACTGTGTCTTTGGATCACTGGGATTTAAAGAGCAAATACTCTCATATCTACTTACTGGAATATATGTCCCTTTACCTTTGAACCCAAATTAACACTTTTGGGGGGGGGGCTTTGTTTTTGTTTTTGCTTTTTTTTTTTTTTTAAGAGCCACCAAAATCCTCCGACATTCAGCCAAATTATTTTGCTTTTGGCAGAAAGAGACCATGTCCACTGTTACTAGAAGCTCCTTTGCTTTTTCATAATTTTGTCCTTCCAGCATTGGAAAAAACACCATAGTGGGGAGGGTCAGAGCTCTTGGAAAACATGGAGTTAATATAACCCAGGCTTGTTGCCATGAATAGGAAATAGCTTACTCCTGCAGTCAATTTGCCTAATTGATTAGAAGCCTGATTGCATCCCTGAAGGGCTAGATGCCCAGAGGGAATATGCATGCACAGAGGCAGGGAGCTTCCAGGGCAGCTTCACAGAAAAGGAGTCTCCTGTGCTGCTGGAGCCTGAGCTGAGATATCCTTTTCTGCTGACAGCTTCTGGGTCAGTGCTCACACCCGTCTCCAGCCCACTCCCAAGCACCTGTGCTGCTGGAGCCTGAGCTGAGATATCCCTTTCTGCTGACAGCTTCTGCTCACACCCATCTCCAGCCCACTCCCAAGCATAAAAATCAGCTCCTAGAGTTGGACAGAGGAGGCCAGCAAGAGAAATCCAAGTGCTACCTCCTACAGGTTGCTGATGGGTCCAGCTGGCACAGACACCAGTCAGTTTGTGAGTGAGGACAAACTCACAGCAAGGCTCTCTGGCAGAAGAAATGTTATTTTTCCCACTCAAATGCTCCCCCACCTATCTACAGTAATCTGTTTGCTCCTCTGGTCTTTCTTGCTCCTTCACATGTCAGGAGTGAGAACCAGAACTGCCCAAATGAGAGAAGTCCCAAGGCTTGGCAAGCTTCCCCAAGGGTCAGAAACCACCGGAGCTTGGCCCCGTGGTTCCCTAATCAGCTGGGTCAAGTTGCCTTGTGAAGCCCAGTGGCAGGAAGCAGTTTATAGTACAGTAACTCAGCCCATTGTCTGGGCTTTTCCAGCTTGGCTTCATTACTATTACCATGATAAAGACCAGCTTTTTTTTTTTTTTCCTACTTCCCTTTTGCCCCTTCAAATCTTTACTTGCTCTTGACTTTTCTGAATTTCACTTTGATACTTTGACACCTCGGTTGTTCTCCCAGACAGATACAATTACAAGAGTTCAAAAAAAACCTTGTTTTTGTCCAGACCCGGGGGAGGGCGGGGGGAGGGAATGAGGAAAAAGCATGGGTAGCAGGGAGATGCGGTGGAGATTGGCTGGGAGAACTCACCTCCTGCCCAGTTTGGAGCAGCTCTTCAGGTCTTTTCTGCAATTCAGAGGACCCAGAAAGATGCAACTGTGGGACATAATCCAACATTCAGGTTTAGTATAAAACAGAAATAGCAAAAAGCGAGCTCAACAGGATCAATGGGGATGGCAGACTGGCAACTGTGTTTCAGTGTGCAATACTCCACCTTCTTCCAATGAGTCCTCACCATTCTTACCTTAAGAAAGAGTTTTACAACAGTTCAAATTTTAAAAAAGAAGAAAAACCCGTGTGAAGGCTCATTCAAAGCATCAACACCACGAAACAGCAGGGTGGCTTACAGTCTGATACAGCACTCATTAATTGATGATGTGAAGGAAAATGCCTTCCCCCTTCCCCCAGTATTTCCACCACTTGCTGAAATTCCTGGACAGTCCTCAAACCCCATACAACCTGCTCTCCTTAACTTGCAGAATTTAGTGACCCCTATGTTGCTAGGGTTGCAAGGTACCAAAAGAATAATAAATGTATTTCTGGGACTCCTTATGAAAAGTAATCTCTCTGATCCAGACATTACAGAACTCTGTTCTGAGAGCAGAAGATGAGCCACAACTTCAGTTATGGTTCACCTGGGAGTGGCTTACAGAGATTCTCCTTCGTCTCAGTACAAAAAAGGCAGTCAGCTGGTGAGGGCAACATGGCCTTCGTCCAATCTCTAATGCAGTGTAAAAAGGAGAACTGTGGCAGGGTGACAATCATAAACCAGTTCGAACAACTGCACACGGGGAAAAAGTGAGCCTAGCCCCAGCAGAAGGATTATTTCTGCTATCTCCAATTCAATGCCTCATTCTGTCACTAGACATGCTGCTACATTATTAGGAAGTGGGGCTGTATTTCTATTAGGAAGATAGATCTTGTTGCAATTTATCCTATTATTTCCTAACTCCATTTTTTCTAGGCCATAAGTCCTTGTACGTCCATACACCTCACCATTGCGGCTCCTGATTTAATATTCTGAGGACAGCTATTGGAACCACTAGACACGGCTTGAATCCTTTTGAAAACTATATTTATATTCCTCCTGTATTAATCTTAGAGACCATGGAACAACATGCAGTGACCTGGATGAGAGCAGCGGATGCATTTATTAAGCCTGTGGATGACACGAAGCGCAAAGAGACTACCAGGAAGCTGGGCTGAGAATGCAAAGTGATTTTGACAAATCAGAACTGTGGTGTGAAGCAGTGGCAGGCTCTCCAGCACGGACAAATGCAAGACAGTGCACACAGGCAAGAATCATCCACTACTTGAAGATAGGCTGCAAAAGAGCTGGTTAGAGAGCAAGGTCTGCAGAGATGAACGCTGAGGGACTACCAAGGATTGCAAGCTCAGCAAACCCAAATACAGCAAGAAGAACTATGAGTGTAAGTCCAGCATGGAAATCAGAAAACATAATAATTCAATTATATGCTGCATTACAGCTTCAAGGGAAGTACTGCATGCAATTGTGCATGAGGTGCTTCAAGAAGGACACAACTGAAGAACAATGAAGATGACAAAAGGACTAGGAAATGCCATTAATTAAAATGGTGTTAGCTTAAAAAGACTGAAGACACTATGGTCTGCAAACCCATGGAAAGGAAATTATAGTTTTTTCAATTTATTAGTTATTCCATGGAGAAAAAAAATGCAAGAAAGGAACAGTCTTAAGTTGCAGGAAGAATATTAGTTATTCCATGGAGAAAAAAAATGCAACAAGGGTTCATGTGTTCCAGGTTGAGAAACACATGGTAAGGAGAGGGGGGCTCTGGACCAAGTTGGACAGGGAGAGCATGTCCCTGAGAAAAAGTTAGCTAAATACCTGTCAATGATGAGGGGATATTATCTGAGGCTGTGATGGGCAGGGGAGAGGACTACATTATTTTTTCTTAAGAAGAAAAGAACTTTCCATTTCTACTGTTCCAATAACCTAGTAAGCCTAAAAAAATTGCAGCTAATACAATTTTCCAAGATCCTAATCCCTTCAAAAAATGCACAGGTTTTCATAAAAATAAAACAAAAAACCAATAAGCTAAGCTATCGATTCACCTGTATTCTACCACCCTCTACAAAAAGCTGTATGCATTCATAATATTTTATTGTAATATGATATCAGGAAACAACTTTTGTCTTATGCTTAACTAAGTAAAGCGAACAGGTACTAAGTTTTAAGTCTATAGAAATTACTTCTGAAAGCACCATCAATTATATCTACAGTACCTGATCTTAAAAAATAAAACAAACACACCTATATCAGGAGAAGTATCACACAGAGGGAACCAGCTGTCTGCATGCTCTCTTATATGCTTTTCTGTTATTTATGTCCAGAGACAGAAAAGCAAACACCATGGAGTGACAAGGCAGCTTTATTATTCTACAGTATGTACTAGAGTATTAAAAATAGCTTCTGTCAAAATAAATAAAATAATAGCTGAATCTAATTTACATAAGTGTTTTTGTTTACCTATGTTGTATTAAATTATGTATTTCAACTACAATTTATAAACATGAATTAAAACATTCTTTTTAATTTTCTCTTTCAAAACATTGTATGAAAAACATCACAAGAAAAAAATGACTCTGAAATATTTTTGAAATTATAGAAACTAGCTGTGTACAACACAAAACATGGTATGGTGCCCCCTTTTGCATCTCTTAAAATGCACTGGACCAGATTCAACTCCTGTATAAAGCTGAAACATTTCTACACAGATTCAAATAACTAATATCCAATGTTACTTTTTCTTTCTTTTTTATCTTCCAAGCAGAGAACAGACTCGGGTCTATTGGAGTTACGAATCACAATGAAGTTTTATGTCATTGATATTGCACCCTTGCCCTTTACTGTGAGATCACACTGCACTTTGCAGCAGGACAGTAGATCTCTTTGTTGATTCTTCTCCTACCCCTCTGCCCAGTCTGAAAGAATTTTTGCATCTCCAATAAATTCCCAAATTAATTTTCCCAGGCTTGAGCAACACCCAGTGAATGTACTCAGGATTTGACTTTATTATCCTTTAATCACCTCAGAAATTGTCAGCCTGGTAGATAGCTCATTAAGTTCTGAATTATTAGTATATTATATTTTTTAATAAAATTATAAGTTAGGGCATATTTTATAACTGCTTTCTTAGAGCATCTTTAGCACTTCAAAATATGTGTGGTTTCCTTTTTTTTTCCAGTTGCGCTCTTGCATTTGGAGAATGCCCTTTGCCAAACTTGCAGCAAAAGAAATGGAAAATGCTTTGAGTGTTTAGGTCTCTTAACACCTACCGTGAAGTATCGCTACCATTACATAGGCAAGAATATGCAAACAATTTGAATTCCCCCTACAAGAAATACTTACTTTAATATCAACAATTATACATCCCTCTGTGGGCACAAATAGACTTCCTTGTCCTTAAAGCATGTGTAAGTCTTTTAAACGTTTTCAGTCAACAAAAGTACATCTCGGAAAAAACACTCCCATGTATAAGGATCTGACCCTAACATAGACCATTAAGATCAATGTACTTACTTGTAATTTACAGTCTTTTAAATTAAATCCACGTAGTTCCTACATGGATGAAAACTGCAGTTTGTATTTTCTCCCTGAACGTACTTTAATGTGCATTCAAAGTACGAGGAACATACCAGTCCAAAACAAACTTTTGGCTTCTTGAGGACACAGGGAAGATGCAGTGACTGCAATTCCTGTACAGGACCCCTACAATTCAGCTTTTTTCTACAGTAAAGCAAATCAAAAGCAACCTCCTGGTGCTAGCGTGAATATTGACCAAAAGTTAACACTATATACATGTATAAAAAAAAAATTCTATCTATGTACCCTGGAGGTGTGTCCTGGTTGCTATGGGAATGGTAATCATGAATTTCCTGGCTAGAGTGGGATCAAAATCCTAACTTTCAACACTGCATTAATGTTGCTTTTCACACTTGCAAGATACAGATTTTTAGCTGTAGTTCAGGTGTTTCCAAACAGAATAAGCTCTTCTCCCTGACATCATGCTAGGATGTTAAAAAACAAAACAAAACAACAAAAAAAGCCGTATTAAAAATAGCTTCTGTCAAAATAAATAAAATAATAGCTGAATCTAATTTACATAAGTGTTTTTGTTTACCTATGTTGTATTAAATTATGTATTTCAACTACAATTTATAAACATGAATTAAAACATTCTTTTTAATTTTCTCTTTCAAAACATTGTATGAAAAACATCACAAGAAAAAAATGACTCTGAAATATTTTTGAAATTATAGAAACTAGCTGTGTACAACACAAAACATGGTATGGTGCCCCCTTTTGCATCTCTTAAAATGCACTGGACCAGATTCAACTCCTGTATAAAGCTGAAACATTTCTACACAGATTCAAATAACTAATATCCAATGTTACTTTTTCTTTCTTTTTTATCTTCCAAGCAGAGAACAGACTCGGGTCTATTGGAGTTACGAATCACAATGAAGTTTTATGTCATTGATATTGCACCCTTGCCCTTTACTGTGAGATCACACTGCACTTTGCAGCAGGACAGTAGATCTCTTTGTTGATTCTTCTCCTACCCCTCTGCCCAGTCTGAAAGAATTTTTGCATCTCCAATAAATTCCCAAATTAATTTTCCCAGGCTTGAGCAACACCCAGTGAATGTACTCAGGAATTGACTGTATTATCCTTTAATCACCTCAGAAATTGTCAGCCTGGTAGATAGCTCATTAAGTTCTGAATTATTAGTATATTATATTTTTTAATAAAATTATAAGTTAGGGCATATTTTATAACTGCTTTCTTAGAGCATCTTTAGCACTTCAAAATATGTGTGGTTTCCTTTTTTTTTCCAGTTGCGCTCTTGCATTTGGAGAATGCCCTTTGCCAAACTTGCAGCAAAAGAAATGGAAAATGCTTTGAGTGTTTAGGTCTCTTAACACCTACCGTGAAGTATCGCTACCATTACATAGGCAAGAATATGCAAACAATTTGAATTCCCCCTACAAGAAATACTTACTTTAATATCAACAATTATACATCCCTCTGTGGGCACAAATAGACTTCCTTG